TGTCGCTACTTTGCTTCCTTGAAAGGGACAATCGAAAGAGGAGGAAATCAACAATGAAAAGGAGAAATACATACTAGAAACCGGACGTCGAGTGGGTGTCGCCACCAGTCGCTCTCTTCTATCAGGAATTTCATTGTAAAATTGCACCTCAATGAAAGTCTCGGAGATGAGCTTCAATGGGCGCCTAAATAGATTTGTTGTACGAAAACCCACAGACGTAAGAATCACAAATATGTCATAATGAAATTCATTTTTGTCATCTTGACGAAATTGCCAGTAAAACTTCAGAGTCATTTCCTATATATCGAAAATTATGTATGCCACTCATGTGACACGCCAGAAAACTTGCAATATCCTTCCCACCCGTCACAATTTCATGCATAAAAGCAGCGATAATGGAATGCTGAGACGTGCTTCTACATTCACATGGCGTAATCGCAGCTTTATGATCAGCATCAGGCTGAGATTCAGAGAACAACATATACCGGCGGGAGAAATTGCCTTTACACTTCTGTTACATTACACTTCATTTCTAATAAAATTACTACATGTAATTTTCGCTGTTTCGGATTAGGCCTCAACCGCTAAGCCCCATTTGATTAACGACATCATTGATGGATGTTATTGTGCACACGTGTTGTGCACAATACAACCCAAAAATGTAAAGAATCTATTTTTTCCGAGCAGTAGTAGAGCAGAACCAGGGTAAGCTTAAGGAAGGGGAGGATACTCTGCAGCCAAATCTGTGAAACGAACCACCCACAACTGATGATGGCAACTGACAAGTTGTTCAAACAAAGTTTATTCGATTCTAACACGAGTTAACAAAAATACCTGAAGGTAAGGAAGCGGCGCGCTGGCGCCTTTTAGTTACGAAGGCGGAAAATGTGAAAACCAGCTGTTCCGTCAGGGAGGGTTTATGGACTTTTCCCAGTTCTTTGTATTTTCCTTCTTTTTTCAGTACAAGGTGATAATAGACACCCGAAGGTGTTTGTTTCTGTCCACCATAAGATAAGTAGAAGTGTCTACTTGCTTGCTCTGATACAAGGATTATACGTTTTCCTGTTCATCTTCGTTTTTCATGCAGCTGTTTTTTCCATCGTCTATCATGTCCTTTGTGCCATTTTCAAGGTGTTGTGGAAGCTTTTGTTTTATGAAAGAAGCCATTGCCCCTTTCCTTGCATCCTCCGTTTTCTCAATCGCGCGCTTTATTGGATTTACGACCATCGTATTTGATTTAATGTTAGAGTGCGATCGTGTGACATGGAAAGCGATCAAAAGTACGACGAGATTGTATTAAAAAAGAGATGAAAAAAAAAACAAATTCACGAAATTGCGAGATGATGAACTATTGCTCCTCTCACTTTCAGAATAGACAACCAATCACCTGCTCGAGTAGTCTAGAGGCACGTTGCACTTGGAAAATAAAAGATACATGAAGAAAATTTGGAAAAATCTATATCTATCCTTCTTGGCTGCAGAAAATTTTCAATTTCCCAGCGCTCGTAGCTCAGAGGGCCGGCGCGTCACTCCTATGCCCGTAAACGTTTTTGTTATTTTGAGTTATTTATCGAACACAAATACGCCGAGTATTCGCACAAGCAGCAACCAATCATTCTGTATGCGCCGAAGAGCTACAAGCATGTGAGAATGCAGCCTGCTTCTAGTGTCACTTGGGGACACGCAGGCTGTAAATGCTCGCGTGCCAACAATTTACCATGGAAAATTGGAAATCTCGCAATAAAAGAAAGCAAATAGGAAGAAAATTTGTTTGAACAGCGCATTCTTTCTGCACTTTTGCATTCATCCCATTAACACAGGGTCTGGATAGTTGGAACGATTGCTAAGGAGAAAATCACTTTCTATAAGATAAGGTGACTGTAAGTTGTAAAAGACTATGGTTAAAAGTGACTTTTTTGAAGTGGTGATTATGAGAAGGGCAAGAATGAGAACAGCGCATATTGTACTGATTGAGAAAGGGAAGATAACAAGATGAACCCTGCAACCAGCAATAACAAAATTTCGCTTCTAACTTCACTCTCAACCATGCAAAACTTTTTGTAACTAACGACTAAGCAAAAAAAAATATTGGAGGTAGTTAGATTTCAAGATGTGATGGAATGTTTGACATCAGGTTCCAAGGACAAAACTACTTCAACCTCAATAAATTGAAAGCAGCAAATATTGTATGTGTAAGCTAGTTCAACTAAGTGAAACAACATTTAAGTCAAAATTTCGAAAAGATATCGCATGCGTATAGCCAGTACAATGTGAGATTAGGGGGGTTACGGGCGGGCTTACAACAAATTAGATTTCAACATTCTACAGCGATGTGCAGATTATTACAAAATTGGGGCGAGAACAAAAAATTGATGTAGCAGAGTGTATGTCGCAAACTAAAAGGGTCAGTCTGTCCAATGAAATAAAAACTTTTGCGATAGTAGAAAAAAAAATAGCGGCAAGAATATAAATATGTGAGCACTGACTCACCTGTGTTTTTGTGACTGTATCGGCGCTAGGAAAGGAAACATTGACGCAGCTTATATGTGCAATTAGTCTGCCCACTCTGGCCTCCTCAAATACCACACCCTACCTCTTTAGTAACTGAAAAATGATGTTCAAATGTGAAGACAAGATTAGCGAAGAAAATTGGGAATCGGGAGTAAACTTGGTCATATAAATATTCAAATGAATGGGAATGTCTGGCAGATGCACTACCAAAAGAAGGAACCTATATACAAGGAGATAGTGGAAATGAAAGTCTCGATAAAACAAATGCTTAGCTCTCCTCTGTGCCATCGTGATCAAACCCTACAAAGAGAAAAAAATTGACGTACAGTACTTTTTAGGAGAGAGGAAGGTGACAATAAGAGTTCAAATTTGCAGAGCCTCAGCTAGCGAAAAGATGATCAGTTTCTACAGATGTAGTAATACAAAAAATA